AAAAAAAAAAAAAAAAAAAAAAGAGGGGAAACTTGGTATAGGAGGCATGCAGGGGTTGTACAGGCACAAGGTCTGTGTGTCTTGTTTCCATGGCTCACTCGGGGTCTCAGCCCCCCTGGAGCACAGGCTGATGGCATCTCAGCAAGGTGCTGAGTTGTTGGCTAGCTGCCTGGAGCTCATTTCTTGAAATTTGCAGCTGGGTCTCTAGGCTTGGCCTGTCTGTCTCAAGATTAGCCCCCGAAACTTCTTTTATTATTTTTATAATTTACAGACAGAGTGTCACTATGTTGCCCAGGCTGGTCTCAAACTCCTGGGTTCAAGGAATTCTTCAGTCTCAGCCTCCCAAAGTGCTGGGATTACAGGCATGAGTCACCACATCCGGCCTGGAACTTCTAAGTAAGCACATAATTAGATACTAGCACATAGTTAGATAAACGTGAAGGAGCTTTATGGTGGGAAAGGGAGAGACGTGGAGTCTATTTTCAGGTTAAGGGAAAAGGCTTCTGCTGTTTGCTTTAAGGTTACATCTTGAGACTAAAGAGGAGAAAGGGAAAAAGAAGTTGTAAAATGCATTTGAAGTTAAGCTGTTCAGTTACAATCATAAACCACTTGGTTAAGTGGAGACACCCCTGGAAGCCCACTGGGTTATTATCTTTTTAGGGGGAAAACAAGGAGGTCATTTAGTCATTTGCTCCACAAGAATTTGTTGAGCACCTACTATGTCTAAGGCTCTTTTGTGGGTGCTGGGGATTCAGTGGTGAATAGGAAGACCCTGGAGGGGAGCAGGACATGCTCCGGGTCTGAGTCCCTTTCGTCTCTGTCCACCAGGCTGGGCAAGGAGCCTTCTTCACTGTGCTCAGACAGCCTGGCACAAGGTAGGGCTGTGCCAGAGTGGGGATGGTCAGAGCTTCCAGGCTGCTCTCCTCCAGACCCTAGAGCCTGGACTGGGCCTCAGCAACCCCTACCCAGTCAACCCGTCTTCTCCCTCAAGCTGCCTCTGGCCGCTTGTGCGTAAGGGTGGGTGAGCCCTTTGGGATGAGTCTCACCGGAGCCTCTGCAAGCTGAGCGCCTCCTGCCTGTTTAATTTTGCCATTTTCAATCCAACCAGATGGGTGTTTTGGGTCTTGCTGACCAACCCCTGCCTCCAAGAGCAACTAAAACAGAGCCGTCCTTGAGAGTTTTGTTGCATGCTTAAAACCTGCAGGGAGGGGAGTGTTCACTTCAACCTGCAAATTAAATCAGCCTAGCTGACCGAGCAGTCTTCACTCAGCACCTCCTCTTCATCTCCTGCGCTGGGTACGCCCGGTGACTCTCACAGCATTGCGAATCACAGCAAAGACTGAAAACAAATGCTACATATATTACGGTACAACCCTGTGGAAATACACAGCCATACAAAGGGGTAAAGCTGCTTTTTTACGTATAGTACTGATACGAAGGACTCCTCTCCAGTATAACTATGAAGTCAAAGGGGCAAGATATGAAACACTGTGTGACACGTGCTTCCATTTGTGTAAGAAGGAGGAAGAGAAGGAAAGAGCAAAAGGGCCCCGGACGCTTTTTAGTCATTTGTAGAGCAAATGACTAAATGACCTCCTTGTCCTTCCTCAAAAAAGATAACCCAGTGGGCTTCCAGGGGCATCTTCACTGAACTGAAGAGTTTGTAATTGTAACCAAGCAGCTTAACTTCGAATGCATTTTACAACTTCCTTTTCTCTTTAGTTTCGAGATGTAACCTTGAAGGAAACTGCAGAAACCCTTTTCCCTTAACCTTAAAATAGGCTCCACGTCCCTCCCCTTCCCACCGTAAAGCTCCTTCAAATTTATGTGCGAGTATCTGAGGAGGAAGAGAAGGATCATGCATAACATTTATGTGGAAAGACATAGAAGAAACTGGTAACGCTGTCACTGCCTCCACCTG